TACTTGTGCCTTATTCCTTTCCAGCGTCACGGCCTTGATTTGTTTGTTTTGACTACTTTTCTAGTGTAGTACTTCTAATTGGACAAGGATTTTGACCATTTTTCGATTAGAACTAGGCAAAATGGTAAACATCAAAGTTGTAGTCCCATCTTTTAGATTTCCAATGGCAAAAATCACATCATTTGGACTTTTGTATCTCAAGTTATCCTTGAAATACTATAGCATCTACAAATGAAGCCATCACCATGCTTGCACGAATTTTCATCAAATGAGCCTTTTTCATCAAATTTCCTATGAAAGCAATAAGAGAAATTAGCAATAACTATCTTTAAATTAATTTTTAAAAAATAACATAAAATTAAATTAAAATAAATTAAATTAAACTAATCAACATGTAATCTCAAAAGTCTAGCTACTTAAGCCCCCAAAATATGTCAAAATAATTCTATATAGTAGAGTTATCACACTCCCAAACTTAAGATTTTACTAGTCTTGTTATAAAACATAAAATAAGTTGCCAGACCTGAATAAAGAAAAATAACTTAACTTGAAATCTATTACACCAATTCATTAATCACCTTTAACATCCTAAAAAATTATCTGATTTTCCCAACTCAAAGAAAAACATAAATATTGTCTAAATTGACATTACATTCAAATGCAAGCTCATTTCTGAATGGTCTTCTGTGTGTGTGTGAAATCTCTTGCAATGAATATCATGCACTCCGGATAGGTTTATGTTGAAGCAAACTTCAAACTAGTCTAGAGTTTCATATGTTTACTTTCATCTCTTTCTCCACTAATGTAGGCTAGCACTTAACTAAGGATCCTTAGGACTTTATTCGGCTTGTAACCTATGGCTAGGCTCAAGATAAGATATGGGATGATATGTAGCTTAAATCACCCTTAGCACATAATTGTTCTAAGACTTATATAGCCTTATTTTTCTTCACTGGGTGCACCTTTTTCTTTCCTTTTTACTTTTCATTCATCAAACATTTTTTTTATTCTCAATTCAACACCCCCAAACTTATTTCTTTCATCATTAGTGGGATGAATGCTTCACAAAAATTTTGCATTTTTCTCCACATTTCATCTTTTCCACTTTTTATAAAATAGCTCAACATATATTTCCTAAAATAATATATATATATATATATGCTTAGGAGTAAGGGTTGTAAAATTGGAAAATTTCTCAAAGGCTAAGCTAATTTTTTCATGTGTTTAATAAAAGAAAAGAACAATTTAAGCTCAAAGGGGTATACTAGGGATAAAGATTGAATTAAGTTAGCTTGAAAGTTTTAATCGGTCCAAGGATGGCCTAAGCCATCTCCCTAACTAAGTATAGCCTATTATTTTGCCTCGAGAAAGAATCAAACAACTTCTAGAACTCCAAAAATGGTTCAAACATTTACATTTACATAAGCTTTCTCTAAAGATACATAATATTTCAACGTAAGAGATATAATGCTCAATTAAGGAAACTTCATCCGATCATGATGCTAAACATAAGAATTCACATGGCATTCAAACAATATTCATGCTTACTATGAGTAAAAGATCAACAAGATAATTGATTATCATCATTGGATAGGTAGATCAAATTCATTGGTGCATTAATTCTAGCTTTAGTTTTCAACATCTTCTTAAATTAAAAATTTCCTACATTATCATGCTAAACAACTAAACTTGAACTTCAAAACATAAACATAAATATTTGAAAACTCTTTCTTAAACTTAAAGTGAACATTGTCATTAATGTTACTAAACGTAAAAAGGAGAAATATTTCCCTAAAGCTATAGCCGTGATCTACTGGTCATCTTCCTCTATCTAACCAAAATTGTCATTGGAGTCTAAATCAGTTGGCAAATAAGGGACAACACCCATACCCATTTCGATATGCTTAGCATAAACTCGCATCATTTGCTTAAGTGCCTGATTATGCCTATCTTGATGGTCTAAATGATGATTAATCCGTTCCATCCATTGAGACATACTGCGAGTTGAGGCCCTAGGTAGAGGTTGTGGGGTAGCTTGTGAAGAACTACTACATACCATAGCAGACTCCTTCAATCACCAAAGAATTCCCATATCGATTGGGATTTTAAGAAGTTACAGCTTTTCTTTATCACTCCATCTAACACCAACTTGCCCACACAAGGTAGTTATCAAAGAAGGAAAGCCTACACCATCTCATTTTGTTTGACTCGTGTGGAATATAGCATTACAGATCACATTGCCAATGTCAATAGATTTACAAGTCATGATGGCATAAATAAAAATGGCTTTATCCTTTGTAACATCGCTGATGTGTGTAGAAGGAAGCAACCTTGCCGCTACAAAGTGTAACCACATTTTACATTGCACTCCTCTCGAATGATACTGACTCTTTATACGACAATTTCCATTACACACCCTATTGTCGATTTAATACAAGCAAGTAGACGTGGCCATACAAGTAATACAAAGCTAAGCCGAGTATCGTTTCTCATAAAGATTTGCACCTATTCTTACTAAGTATTAAGTTTATAACAAAGTTTATCCTATCCAAGCACTTGATATTGAATAATTGATTAATTTAAAAGTAATTGCTAAAACTAAGTAAATAAAGAAGAATAGAATTTCACTAAGAAAAATATTAATTGACAAGCCTAGAATTATGGTGTTTCTCAAAATTTCATTGAAATTTAATCACTTTCCTTAACTCCAAATAATGGGGTGTAAGGCATTAAGAGTCCACATTATATACAAGTTTCTGTCGAGATTTTGCACACATACCATTTTAAAACTAACTCTAGATGTTTATATAAATTAATTAGAAAAGGTTCATTACGTTCGTGTTCTAATTTGGCTGCCTAAGGTATTTAGCTATATGCCTATCCTATATACGAAACTATCACCTAACTTCAAAGTGAATCGAACATAGGCTATTAAAAACAATGATTTATTCTAAACTCCCTTTTGTCGAGTTACATTTAGAGATCCAATACATTTCAACTGATGATCAAGTAGTGAAAAGCAATAAACAAAAAATTGAATAAACCATGCAACATCCATTAATACTAAGCAAAGGGAAATCATATATTCAAACCACATATTGAAATAAACCATAATCCTAGAAAATAAATTTAGTTCATTATCATTTCGATAGCAAACATAATTGTTTCTAAGTGTCTAGTGTGCAAATAGGTTAAGATAGAGCATTAAAGACCTGTCGATTGCTACAGCCTTTGCTTGTTACCTAGTGGAAGTGGAAGCATATTTCTATGCACTTTGTGACTAAACTACCCCATACGATTAAGGGATATGATTCTATTTGGATGATTGTGGATATACTGATTAAGTCCACTCATTTCCTACTGGTGAGGACCACTTATGGAGCAGCATAGTATGCTAGGCTATATATTGATGAGGTAGTGTAATTGCATGAAGTCTTAATCACTATAGTATCGGATAAAGGTGCACAATTCACTAGTCAATTTTATGGAAAAATGCAAGAAGTTTTAGGGATAAAATTGAATTTTAGCACTATTTTCAACTATAAGCAGAAGGACAATTTGAGAAGACCATTTAGACACTAGAGAATATGTTGAGGGCATATGTCATAGATTTTGAGGTTGTTTGGGACTAACACATACCATTAATTTAATTCACCTATAATAATAGCTTCCTATAGTGGGAGTTGCAACTTACCACCTTTTTTATTGATTTTTTAAAAATATTTTTTTGAACTGTTTTTTACATGTGCCTGCACAAATAAAGAAAAGAGTGTTAATAATAAAATAATAAAAATAAAAATAATAAAATAAAATAAAATAAAGTAAGTTAAAGTGCTTGGGTTACCTCTCAAAAAGTGCTTCTTTATAGTCATTAGCTTGACTGTGGTAGCCCTTTTTGTACTACTTTATACGGCTCGAGATTTTCTTTATTGACCTTGATTGCTCCAGTAAGTCCACTATAAATCTCGATAACATCAAAAGGATGAATCTTTACCATCTTAAACTTGTTCCTCCAATATGGTCTAAGATTTGATGGCAAAAGATGGAGTGTTGAATTAGACAATACTACTCGCTGTCCAACCACAAATTCAAGATAGCTAGATAATGGTGGTGGTTTTGTCTCAAGAATTGGTGCCTGTGTTGTTGAAGGTGGTGGAATAGGCTTACCTTTACCCTTATTGACTAAATCCATTTTATCACAACTATTTGTGTAAGGATACTAAGTTGCATTGAACAAATTAAATACCAGTTTCTCCTCTCTAACTTTGAGAGTTATTTTGCCATTCTTCACATCAATAATTGCTCCAGCTGTAACTAAGAATGGTTTTCCCAAAATAAGAAGAATTTTAACATCATCTTCAATCTCGAGCACAATGAAGTCTACCGAAATGTATAAATACTCAACTGTAAGCAAAACATCCTCTATAATCCCAATTGGGTGCTTGATTATTCTTTTTGCTAATTTCAAGGTAATTGTAGTAGGTTGTATCTCTTTAAATCTAAGTTTTCTAGCAATAGATAAAGGCATCATTGAAACACTAGGACTCAAATTACATAAAGCTTTGGAAATTTTACAATTACCAATAGTGCAAGGAATAGAAAAACTCTCTGGATCTTTAAGCTTTAGTGGAAGCTTATTTTGGATTATAGCATTGCACTCATCAGTAAGTGCAATTGTCTCAAACTCTTCCAATTTCCTCCTTTTGGTGAGGATGTCTTTCAAGAATTTAAGATAATTTGGCATTTGTTCTAAAGTTTTAGCAAAATAAATATTAATGTGCATTTTTTTAAATACCTCAAGAAATCTCTAGAATTGTTTGTTAAGTTTTTGCTTTTGAAAACATTGAAGAAAAGGTGGTGGAGGTGTGGGTACATATTGTGATTTTTCTTTTGAATTTTCAGCAGATTTTTCAACCATAATTTCTTTTTCAGCATTTTTTTTCAATTTCTTGTTCAGCAGATTGATTTGAAATCTCATAATTTAACGCTTGATTACTTACCTTGTCATGTACCTCTTTTCCATTGCAGAGAGTGATTGCCATACAATGTTCCTTACCTTCTCTTCTTGGGTTGGGTTCAATATCACTGGGTAAGGTACCATGAGGTCTAGTATTTAAAGCACTGGCAAGTTGGCCTACTTGTATCTCAAAGTTTCTAATTGACGCTGTTTGATTTTGAATGGAGGCATCAGTCTTTATTATAAATGCATCAGTCTTTGTTATGAATGTATCAGTCTTTGTAATGAATGCATCAGTCTTTGTCATGAACTGCATGAACATATCCTCCATCAAAGGCTTTTTCTCGAGCATAGGGGCTCTAGAAGGAAATCCAGGGGGAGAGTTTGACTTAGCCGCTGATGGAGACCCATGGTTGTTATTTCATGAAAAATTAAGATAATTCCTCCAACTAGGATTGTAAGTGTTGGAATAGGGATTGTTCTGTTGCCTATTTCCAACAAATTGACAAGACTCAGAATAGAAAGGACAATTTTCATTGGAATGTCCTTCCCCATAAAATTCACATGTCATAAAGGAGTTCTGAACAGCATTAGCATTCAGTTTATCTATTTTCTTTGTGAGAGAGGCTAATTGTGTAGAAACAGTGTTCATCACATCTAATTCATGAATTCCAACAATGTTTCTTGTACCCAATCTTTCTAATGGCCATTGATAATTATTAGAAGCTATCTCTTCGAGCAAATCATAAGCCTTATCAATGGATTTACTCATGAATGTACCTCTAGTGGTAGCATCAATGGTAGTTCTAAAAGGTCCACGGAAACCATTATAAAAAGTCTGAACTTGCAACCACTTAGGTAATCCATGGTGAGGACATCTTCTCATCAAATCCTTATACCTCTCCTAAACCTCATATAGTGATTCAGAATCGAATAACATGAAAGAAGTTATATCATTCTGCATCTTTGTTGACTTTGCAAGTGGGAAATATTTTGCTGAGAATTTTTAACCAAATTATCCCAAGTATTAATGGAACCAGCAAGAAGAAACTTTAACCAACTCTTTGCTTTATTGATCAATGAAAAAGGGAAAAGCCTCAATCTTATGGCATCATCAATAACACCATTAGCTTTGAATGTATCACAGATTTTTAGGAAATATATAATATGAGCATTCGGATCATCATTAGGCAAACCCCCAAACTGAACAGCGATGTCAATGATTTGAATGATTGATGTTTTAATTTCAAAATTGTTGGCTTGAATAGGAGGTTTTCGAATACTAGAGTGGAGATTTTGTACTTATGGGAGTGCATAATCCCTCAAAGGCTTGGTCTCTTCCTTTTGTTGATCAGCCATTGTTTTACATGGAGTAGAAACTTTTTTATTTTTCTCATACAACGACCAAAAGTATCTAAAATAGAAAAGAAAAGTCTAGATTAAAATTAAGAATGCTTGGCATTAATATTAACAAGAAAAAATTAAAAAACAATTCCCTAGCAATGACGGCAAAAACTTGTTATTCAATTTTCTACCCATGCAAGTGCACGTGTTGCAAAGATAATATAGAGATGAGTAGAGTGTTGATCCCACAAAGAATTGAATTAATCTTTATTGTTAACTACTAAAATTAACACATCGTAATTTTATCAAAATAATTAAAATATAAAAATTTAAATTAATAAATTGAAAACTAAAACTAATATATCAGTAAATTTTACTTCTAGTGATTAACAGACCTAAGATTATGATATCTCTTAATACTTTATCTGAATATTGTCTCTCTCTCTTAACCTAGTTTAATGGATCAAATTGCTAACCTAGAGTCCTAAATTATTTACAAGTCTCTGTCGAGTTTCTTATAAAAATATCTCTCTCAATTAATTTACTATATGTCTATGCAAATTATATTAAAGAAAGATTAATTAAGTATGTGCTCTAATTTCGGTTATGTATGGCTTATAGGTGTATGTCTACCCTATATGCAAATTAAACCACCTAATCAACTAAGTGTATTCGATCATACACTATTTTATTCAAGATCTACCTAAATCTCCTTTGTTAAGGTTTAACCTAAGTTTCCAATTCAATCTAATTGGTGATTAGGCAATTAAAAGCATTAAGAAT